GTTGCGGTGTCCGGGAGCGGCCACTGCACTCCAGTCTGGGCGACAGAGTGAGACTCCAACTCAAAAAAAAAAAAATTAGAGAGACAGACAGGGGCCAAACCATGCGGGAACTCACAAGCCATGGAAAGGAACCTGGATTTTAGTCCAAGTGTAGTGGGAAGCCAATTAAGGATTTATACATTAGAGGCATGATCAGGTTTATATTTTCAAAGATGACCTGATGGTTTTGTGGATAGGCAGCATTTACTTCATATATCAAGCTTTACATTTATGATGTATGCGCTTTTTTGAATGTATAGTATACTTCAAGGAAAAAAAAAGGACAAAATCCTAGCTGCTGTAAGGAGAATGGTTGAGAAAAGAATTGGAGGCTTTTAGTAGTCCAGGCAAGAGATGATGATGGCTTCAATTCTTGAGATAGTATAGAGGGGATTAGCCGGGCTCGGTGGCTCAGTCTGTAATCCCGCGCCTTTGGGAGGCTGAGGTGAGTGGACTGCCTGAGCCCGCGGGTTCGAGACCCGCCTGGGCAACTTGGCGAGACCTCATCTCTACAATAAATAAAAAAATCAGCCGGGCGTGGTACGTGGTAGCGCATGCCTGTAATTCTGGCTACTCGGAAGGCTGAGGCAGAAGGATCGCCGGAGCCCAGCAGGTCGAGGCTGCGGTGGCCGGGAGCGGCCACTGCACTCCAGTCTGGGCGACAGAGTGAGACTCCAATTAAAAAAAAAAAAAAAAGAATAGAGAGGATTGAATGGATTTGAGATATATTTTGAAGGTAGAATTGAGAACCTGGAGATGGATGGGACAGTTGAGGGAGAGAGAGAAATCAGGAATGACCCCTATGTTTCTTACTTCGCAATTCAGTGCAACTTACTGAAATAATCACAGTTACAGTAAATATTTATATAGTCTATACTATGTGCCAGCCTTAGTTCTGAGTGTTTCACATATAATAATTTGTTTCGTTGTTTAATAATACAAAACTTTTATGATTGAATGTTACTATTGCTCCTCATTTTATACATGAGAAAACCAAAGAAATGAACACAGAGATGGGGGAAATAGGGAAGAATATGTTTTGAACATGTTAGGCAATGAGAAGTTGATGAAAGTTTTTAAACAGGGGAGGTATTAATTTAAAAATTTTTTGGTTGGACTATGTGGCTCAGCCTATAATTCCAGCACTTTGGGAGGCCGAGGCGAGTGGATTGCCTGAGCCCGCGGGTTCGAGACCAGCCTGGGCAACATGGCGAGACCTTGTCTCTAAAATAAATAAATAAATAAATAAGCAAGCCAGGTGTGGTGGCATGTACCTGTAGTTCCAGCTGCTTGGAATACCAAGGTGGAAAGATCACCTGAGCCCAGTAGGTAGAGGCAGCAGTGGCTGTGAGCATGCTTGCTGCACTCCAACTTGGGTGACAGACAGACTCTGACAGAAAGAGAGAGAGAGAGACTATAGAACTTAAAAACAAGAAAAACACTTGCCACTCTTCCTCAAATACCACCCTCTATTTCTTCTTTCTTAAGCCATGCAGGTTTTTTTTTCAGTTTTAATTTTCTTATTTTAAATATGTGGGGTACAATTCAGGGTTAGGATACACATGTTCATTATGAAGGTATTCTTGTTGATGAGGTGTGCAGTCACACTTTTTTTTTTTTTAGATTAGAAAATATAGTTTATTTAGAAAGTAAATTAAGAGAGAGAGAGAGAGAGAGAGGAGATTCACCTTACCAAGGCAGGGGAGGAGACCAAAGTCAGGAAACATGGCCTTTTTTTTTTTTAGTTGGAGTCTCACTCTTGTCGACCAGGCTGGAGTGCAGTGGCATGCTCACGGTCACTGCAGCCTTGACCTGCTGGGTTCAGGCGATCCTTCCGTCTCAGCCTTCCGAGTAGCTGGAACTACAGATGCACGCCACTACACTCAGCTAGTTTTTGTGATTTTTATAGTAGAGATTAGGTCTCACCAAGTTACCCAGGCTGGTCTCAAATCCTTGGGCTCAGGCAATCCTCTCGCCTTGGTCTCCCAAAGTGCTAGGATTACAGATTGAGCCACCGTACCAGGCCCACATTTTCTTAAGAGTTATCTATAAGTGCTGTTTTTATTTCCTCATCTCCAATTCATCCTCAAACATCTACAGAATGGCTTTTGCTTTCATATTGATACTATCTCTCAGCAATGACATCAAACACCTCCATGTTGCTAAATCCTGTGGACACTTTCCAGCCCATTCTTCTTCTCTCTACAAGCAACTGATATTGTTGAGCACTTATTCATATATTTATTTATTCAACACTTTTTTGGGGGGGTTAGGCCTCAGGTATGTAAGAGTGGACAGATTTATATAGTCCCTACTTTCATGGAACTCTAAAAATATCTTAAAATACCATAGTATCCTGCTTTTCCTTCTCCTTCTCTGACAACTCCTTCTCAGTCC